AATGCACCTGGCATGCACCACGACCATAGGATAGAACTAGAACTGGGGGCACAGCCAACAATACATCGGCAGTTCCGATTGACCCAGCCCGAACTGGACGAACTGAGGAAGCAGCTCGATTACCTGCTCGAGAAGGAGTTCATTCGCCCTAGTTCGTCGCCTTTCATACCCCACTATAGCCTACAAACATGCATCAGCTATAATACTCTGACATCAGTGCCAACGAGGTCGACAGCAGTTGCAGAGGCAACAGAGGGCAAGAGGGGGACAGGGGAGCACCCCTCAAAGAAAGGGGCACGAGGGTCACCACGAGAGGCTCCTACAGCGACTATACTCTTCTCAACTGCAAGGAGGCGCTCCTCGAGGAGGTCAACAGTGAGCGTGGTGGGGCAAAGGGAGAGGAAGTGGTCCTTGACTGAACGAAGGGAGTCAGGGAGCCGGGTGACGAGGTAATAGAGGGTGATGTACTTTGGGAGGGGGTTCTTGGCGCAGAACTCGGTAGGAAGCGCAGCGCGGTAGCGGGTGTCACTGGTGCGGAGGTGGGTAATGAGGTCAGCGACTGTGGCAAAAGCGGCGAGGTCAGGGAACAGGTACGGCGGCATGAGGCGGCTGAGAGCAGCAGTGGCAGGGGAGGAGTAGCGCGCAACAACAGCGTCATATAGAGTCTTAGCACGCTCGTACTGGCTAAAGTGCGTGTGCTCAGCAGACGGCAGGTGACTACGAACAGCAAGACGAGCTGCAGGATCATGCGTGGTCCACTGCGAGCGAACTGCACTGTCAGCATTGGCAGCAGGTGCGACAGAGACGCCGGACGTGTGATCGAATAGTGAGACTCCGTCCCTAGAGTCGCACTGCAGAAAAAGCTACAGATCATCGACCCAGACCTCGAAATCGACTGCTCGACCCTCAGCATCAAAGGTAAGTACATTAGGGCTAGCCATGGCGGCAGTAGCAATAGCAGTAGCAGCAGTAGCAATAGCAGTAGAGGCAGCGCGGCTCAGTAGGGCAGGGCAGCGCGGCTCGGCAGAGCGGTGCGGCTTTGCTCGGCTGGGCGGCTAAGCTCGGCTGGGAAGCGCGGCTCGGCTGCGCGGCTCGGCTCAGCTGGGCGGCACGGCTCGGCTGCGCGCTTGTCGGGCAGGAGCGCGGGCAGCGCAGCTAGGGGAGGTGCTCACCAGAGGCGGATAGGGCAGGC